TTATGGTAAGAACGGTTAAAACCGGCCAAAGAGCAGCTAAGTATGCTTTAGGCAAAGAATGAATAAGTTGGCCTAAGAATGTATAAGAACACCCCAAAGAACGAAAAGAATACATAAGACTGCTGGCCCTAAAGAATGCTAAAGAATGGTAAAGAGTGGTTTTATTTCTTAAGAATGAGACTTAAGAACGAGTGCCATACTTAGCAACCCTATGATAAGAATGGTTAAAACCGGCCAAAGAGCAGCTAAGTATGCTTTAACACTAAGTTGGTCTAAGAACGAATAAGAACACCCCAAAGAATGGAAGAGAATACCTAAGACTGCTGGGCCCCAAAGAATGCTAAAGAATTTCAAAGAATGGTTTTAAGATAAACGGATGCCTTACGAACGTTCTTAGAACGTTCTTAGAACGGTGTAAGAACGTTCTAATGGTTATTCAATTTTATCAATTTGGCTGGGCTAAGAACGAGTTAAGAACGTTCTTAACCCCCCTCCGTGTTTGTAGGGTTACGGACCCGTAATTTCTGTCAAATTACGGGTGGATTGACCCAAAATTACGGGTAAAATGACCCCCCTTTTCCCAGAGTGCACTGGCCAATCCAGCACATCACGAAACCAGCTGTAACCAATCCCTGACTTCAATAGTACCGCGGCTTGCTTCACATTTCCTGCCTGATACTCATGCACACATCTTGCAAAAAACAGCCCCTGTAGGCTGTGGCTGTTCCTCAATCTGTCCGCTGGTTTAAAAAACATGTTCCCCTTCCATATCATTGATCTCTGCCAGCCCGTCCACGCACTCGTCACGAAAGGAAATTGCATGGACACATGTGTTTGCATGGTCCATGAACATATGCATCAACCTTGACCCCTGGGGTGAACAGCTCGAACACAAGGTCCAAAATGATATTGGGCATGCATCACTCACATGTTTAACTTCTAATGAACACATGCAAACTGCCATAGTGTGCCAGTCAGTGTTTGTTTTTTAAGTAATATATTCCTTTTAAGGAATAAAGAGGCCATTTTGGCTTTTGGAAATAAGGAACAAATTCCGTACATTTTCATTCCTCCAGCCAAAAACGTCCATTGCTGCCAGATTGCTCCATAGTGTGCAGAACTTAGTATTATCGATCATAGAATAGATATGAGGGGCCGTAAGAAGGTCAAGCCCGTGAGTCAACGCAGCATAGCAGAATGTATGACCGGTCCTTACATAGCCAAACACGCAACAGGCAACGACTTGAACGCCGAACAAACACCAAAACAGCAAGAAGCCTGAAATTTTTCCTGATAAAGGCGTTTGGGACGGCGGTGCTGTTGTCGGTAATGCATCGGCAATTGTGTTGCTGCCAGCGGCGACCGATGACACGGGCGCCATTACCCCTGCCTTCCATGGCAGTTGTGATCAGCATAAGCGCAAGCTGTCACCCAGGCCATCAGCAACTGTGCGGTCCTCGCCGGCGGCTTAACGGAGTATTCGGCTTTGGCCCAGCTGGTGTTAGTGATGGTGCCAGGGTCGGTGGAGGATGAGCGGCGGTTCTCTGCCATGGGGTACTTGCAGGACCCCACCTGCAACCGCCTGGATGAGCACCTAGCATTGTGTGTGCAGATGTTTACCCAGGACCTGTTCGACCTGGGCACGTTCCCGTTCCGTGACGCACTGAGGAAGTGGCTGGACAGCAGCAGCAGGGGCCGGTACATGATGAACCGGTAGAGTCCTAGTGTGCTGTGGTTTGCAGTGGTTGCTTGCTCTGCTTGGTCGGATTTACTTTTTGTTCACAAACAGTGCCAGAACTATCTATGCATGTGCATGAAGAGTGCGCACATGAACGAAAACGCGCCAATGCAGTGCGTGCCTCTTGGTCTATGAGGGGAGTTGTAACTTATGGGGGGGGTCTGGGGGGGGGTGTAGCCC